GAATGAACTTTGGGTCCCTATCACTGATGATACTCTCGGGCACCCCGTGAAGCTTCACGATCTCGTGAACATAAAGTCTAGCCAACTGCTCAGTAGTGAAGCTCACCTTCCCCGAAAGAAAGTGGGCAGACTTCGTTAATCTGTCCACAATGACCCAGATAGAGTCACAACCAGCCTGAGTCTTCGGCAAACCCACAACGAAGTCCATGGAAATGCTCTCCCATTTCTATTCCGGAATCTCAAGAGGTTGAAGTTTACCAGACGGCTTCTGGTGTTCTAACTTCACCTTCTGGCAATTCAAATACTTGGACATGCAACAACAATGTCCTTCCTTCTTCACCTAATCTAGGCACTCTCTGCACTTGCGCCTCTTTGATATTTTCCATGAGCTCGTTATCCACTTGCACGGTTTCCATTTCGAGAAGTGCACCTCCAACAAAGAGGTCACCGTCAGATCTCGAAACTTCGCAATCACATCGAAATCGTCATTCGATTCACTGGGATCGTCAGTCACTCTATCCATAGAGGTAACCTGACCCCACAAAATCTTATCCACACAAGGCTTGAGTGAGTTTGGTCTTATTCCATGACTCTAACATCGACTAGACTTACTATTTTTATAAATCATTTTTCTCAAAATAAATTCATATACCTTTCACAGCACGAAATCATAATCATGTTCATTTCAACCAATACATGTTATTTAACATATTCATTCACATAGTAACGTACCTTAGTTCACGTACACCTGCAAAATTTTCAATTTCAATAACATAATAAATCAAAAACTCTATGCAACGGTATACCTCAATCTCCATGGTATCTGCAAAATCAAGAGTCAATTAAAGGTGAAATAACATTGATACATTACCATCATTTATCATACTTATTTCATAATAACACTATCCATGGTGTTAACATGCTAACTACTTATGAAGCAAATCAATAATAACAAATGAACCTAGAGTCATGGAGACCACTCAACCCACAAACAACTTGTACATGCCCTAGACTCGCGTATACATGAACGCGCGTGGCCTTGCCACAAAGTCTAAGTGTTATACACTTAATTCCTTGAAGAGAATTTCATAGTCTCAAACAAGGCACCATCACAATCATGTAATGGCGTAAGGCATCTTACCTTAACAACAAAAATAACCGGTGCTCCCCATGGAGACACGCTCGGTCGAATGAAGTCTTTCACCGAAAGATCCTCTAAATGTTCTGTCCACTCCGCCAACACTGGTGGTGACATCCGATATGGAGCTAATGAAATAGACCTCACACCAGACAACAAATCTATGGAGAATTCTATCTTCCGCTGTGGCGAAAACTCATGAATCTCCTCAAGAAACGCCGCGAGGAATTTTGTTGCGACTTTGGCAAGTGCACCGATCGTAAAGTAATAAAATGTACTGAGTATGAGATCGTTCCCACGAGGATCAGAATTTCAAGCACTAGTTCCCTAATCGCATTTTAGTTGGACAATCAAAAGTTGGATTGGAGAGAATTGTAATTGAAGAACTTAAAAATTAAAGACAATTAATGAGATGCAATTAAAGAAATTTCAGAATTAAAAAGACAATTGAAAAGATGATGATTGATTAAGAATTTAAAACAAGCGTAGTTAAGGTTTCGACTTCTCCCAATATCCTCAATATGTTACGAATTAAACAGTCAAGAATCTGTTTCTTAATATATTGTCAATCAATTCTTTCTAAGTTAATTAGGGCTCAATTCCTTGTTACCCTAAATCTATGTGATCTTGAAAGAAATCTAGTTCCCCGATTATTCCCCAAGAAAATATGCATTAAGATCAAGAATTCCAAGATTACATAATTACCCTATGTCTATCCCTAGATCACAAGTATTATGATAAATTATCAAATCAGGGTTCATGCACCAACATCTCGATTATCATACAATTCCCCAAAATCATTCTATAAGGAGCAAACTCATAGAAATCAATAAAGACAGATAATTTATTCAATTATAAAAAGAACAGGATTCAGAGACAATTTAATTCATAAACATAAAGATTCAATTGGTTTCCATCTACCCTTAACTACATAAAAGACTAGCCTAACATACTGAATTGAAAAACAATAATAAAGAAAAGAGAACCCCAATCCTCCATTGGTGTGATGTTGACTTGGTTCCTCAATGTTCCAGCACTCTACAACAGGATTCCTCCTTCAGGTCTCTATGTATTTCTCTGGACTTGTGAATTGGTTTTGCTCCCAAGCTCCTTATTTATAACCATTGAAGTTGTATCCTTCATTGAATCTCCCAATGAATCCATATCAGATTTGTAATTGATTCTACAATTGTTTCCTCTTTGCATTTAAGATCTTGAAGATTGGTTGATAGATTTGAGCTTTGAATCATTGTTGTGATCTTCCATTATATCTTCCCATGGATTTATATCTATTCTCAATCAAGATTGATTTGTTTCCACTTTGTATTTTTGTAAAAGTCTGATGCACATCTTGATAAAGATATAAAATCTCTTTTGGATTTAGATTTGGCCGTGCATGGACGTTTTAGCATGCTGTTTGTGCACTAAAATGTTCTCTTAATGCATTCCTTTATGCCTCTGGGCATTTTGGCGTGCTGTTGGGCGCCAAAACGTCCTCTTCGAAAGGTATCTTGTTCCTTCTGGAGCGTTTTGGCACTCTGTTTGGCCGCCAAAACGCTATGGTCTAGCGAGATATTGTGGTTTTCTTCATTTTGAGCGTTTAAATGTGCTTCTTGGCCGCCAAAACGTCCTCTTTCAGCTGGTACACACTTGAAATCTTGCTTCTTTGAGGTTTGAATTCATCTGGTTGCATTCCTTTGGCTCTAAAAAGTCATAATGTGCGTCAAAAATCCTTAGAAATAAGAAATATGACAACATGTTAGCCAGATATTCAATTATTGTGACTTTATGGTTTAAAACCCTAATTTCGATGCAATTCATGATATATTTTGAGTATAATTAAGCCTAAAACCATGGTAAACCAAGGGTTTATCGACCATTTCCAGATTTGAATATTGTTGTCCTCAGCAATTAACTAGAATAAACTTACTGGAAAATTAATCAAGACCTTCAATTGTATGGAGTTCATAGGTAGGATTTAATCAAAGACATGATCACAGAGCATTTAGACTTTGAAAGGATAAGACATCAAAGCAGCAAGATTCATAATTCATCAATTAAAACATTCAATGAAATTCCTTAAGATCAAGAACAAGGAAAAATTCCTGATACACTACCTCACTAGGATTTCAATTCACTAACACTCAACTGTCTAGAGGGTTGGTGTTTCACTCTTGTTCCACTGTATTAATACTACCATAGGCTTGCTTATATTCTCGCTCTCCACAGTTCTTATGATAAATTAACCAGATCAAGAGGTCTTCAATAGGGTTATAATGTGGCCTGGTTAAGGGAAAGGAAAGATTTTTGGAACTAAGTTCAAGAATTAAATTCAGATTCTGAAGGAAGGAGTAAGTGTAATTTGTTTCGTACATTTGTACATTTTTCTTCTTCTTCCTTTTGAACTTTTTCTCTTTTGACGTTTTCTTTCCAAGAACTTTTTCTTTTTTCACTTCTTCTCCTTTATTTTCTTTGAGCTTTTTGCTTGCTCTTCTTTGTTCTAACCAACTTTTCTTCCTTGGGCTTTGCCCTTTTCTGCTTGTACTTCTAGACATCACAACCTTGTAACCATAACTTGTATCCACTCCTTACTTCAAATCTGAAATTATTCTTCTATTAAGGTGAGGATTTATTTGGGGAAGTGGCTTTTCACATTCAAGGGTTTTTCATGAATAAAAAGTCTAGGCTCAAGGGGCTTAACTAAGGAATATCAAAAAAGGTTAGTTATTTGGCCATCTAGTTAGAGAAAGAACATGCCTCTATCATTTCTACAAAATATATCACAGACCATTTCAATCAAGAAACAAAGCAAGTTCTAGAGTATCTCAACAGTAGAATGCACACTCAATAAAAAATTTCTGTATAGGCTCAAAACCTCACGGATATGAATGCATAGTAATTATCCTGTTCTTTTTCTCACACAACTTCAATATCAACAATATATTCAATGAATCATGTCACTTATTGCAATGATGCTCATAAAAGAATGTATAAGTGCACCATCATGCTCTGAATTAAGAGTAAACACCCATTTTGGTCCCTAACAAAAAACACGGTCTCCACTTTAGTCCCTTACAAAAATAAATTAGTCAGTTAGTCCCTAACAAATTCAAAGTGGACCCATTTTAGTCCTTTTGAGGGACTAATATGGGTCTTTTTTGAATTTATGAGGGACCACAATTTCAACTAAATGGGTCCACTTTGAATTTGTTAGGGACTAACTGAGTAATTTATTTTTCTAAGGGACTAAAGTGGGGACCGTGTTTTTTGTTAGGGACCAAAAATGGTATTTACTCCTGAATTAATTACTAATTTAAAATTCCTGCCATTTTTCAATTAAAAACACTGAGAATAAAAATTTCAGAATTTTCACAAAACAGTGGCTTGGGGTTTTCAAAACAAACTAAATATATATATATATAAAAAATCAATTAAAAAAGAATTAGGCTAAAGCAAAGGAGAAAGGATTTGAGATAGTTCCCTGTTTTAGCCAGATATTCTGTGTGTGCTCATGAAGTTCCTCCAGCTTATTCATTTGTGCTTGATGAATCGCGCATTCCCCATTCCCAGATTTAAATGTTGTTGTCCTCAGCAATAGATTTAAATCTACAAAGAAATTGTGTGAGAAATAAAAAACAACTAGTCGTTCTCTTGTTGTTTGTTCCCTTTTCTTCACCTGTAAAATTCACTCAATGATAGCCATTAGTCTCAACACCTTCTCCTATATTTTTGTATTTTTCTTTATTTAATTTAAATTAAAATTAATTAAAAATAGTGAAATTAAAATAAAACAGTAAAGTGTGGGTTTGTCTACCTATTAGCGCTTGTTTAACGTCACGAGCCTGATGTACCTGATATACTATCATGGTGGCTCAAAGCACAAGCTTGGTGATGTCCAAGCTCCATCATTCAGAAATTGTGTCCTACCATAGTGCTCTTCTGCATACGGATGAAGTAAAGGAGTCTCAGGAACTTTGAACTTTACTTTTACATGCTTTCCTTTGCTCCTCGGCTTTTCCATCTTAACTTTTGGCTTACTTTCTTGAGAGGACTCCTCATTGTGTTCTTCTTCACCTTCCTTTTCACTAATAAAGTAGACTTGATCTTCCGGTTGAGCTACGGATGAGGGGATTTCTTTGTCAAAGAATTTGAAAATTGCTTGCTCTCCGTCTACCCGTAAGATTAACTCACCTTTAAGTACATCAATCAGTGCTCCTGAAGTTGCCAAGAAGGGTCTTCCAAAAATCATAGGAACTGTGGCATCTTCTTCAATGTCAAGGATGACAAAATCAACAGGAATGATGAATTTGTCTACCTTTACCAATATCTCCTCAATGATGCCATAAGCTTGCTTTGAAGAGTGGTCAGCCAATTGCACTATCGTCTTTGTGGGCTTAACTTCAGTAATCCCCAACTTTTTCATCATGAAGAGTGGCATGACATTGATGCTAGCTCCAAGATCACATAAAACATTGTCCACTTCCACTTTGTCTATAGTGCATGGAATGCTGAAGCTCCCTGGATCCTTGACTTTGGTAGGTAACTTCTTTTGGATGATAGCATTACATTCCTCTGTCAGATTCACCGTCTCACATTCCTGCAACTTACGCTTCCTTGATAATAGATCCTTCATGAACCTTGCATAGTTGGGCATGTTTTCTAAAGCTTCCACAAAAGGAATGTTGATCTGCAACCTTCTGAATATGTCTAGAAACTTTGAATACTGCTGCTTCTGAATATCTTTCTTTAATCTCTGAGGATAAAGGATTCGAGCATATGGGGAGAGTTCCAATGGCTTGTTCTGTCTTTCTAGAGCTTTCTTCTTCTCCTACTTGAATAGTTTCTTTTCGGCTTTTTCAGGATTGCTTTTGTCAACTTCAATTGTATCCTTTTCCTTTTCTTCCTTCTCTTCTTCAACTGATGCTTCTCCATCCTTCTTCTTTTCTTCGGGCTGCTCCTCTATAGGCTGAATCACTGTCCCACTCCTAGTGGTGATAGAATTGCAATGCTCCCTTGGATTGACAATTGTGTTGCTTGGAAAAGTACCCTGAGCTCTCTCAGAAAATTGCTTCGACAACTGGCCAATCTGAATTTCCAGATTTCTTATGGAAGCTTCTTGATTCCGGTGTGCTGCTCTAGTCTTTTGCATGAAAGAAAATGTGTCCTCTCTAAAAGCATTTGCACCTTGAATATAATCAGAAGTGGTCTTGCACAGTTGTGCAAAAGCTTTCTCCCACTCAGAAGTGTTACTTTGTTGTGGGGTATGTGGTTGCACTGGAAGGGGAGGATTGAGCTGATGGTTGGATTTGTAACTCAACCCTGGATGTTGATTCTGATTCTTATGATCGTACCAGATTCCATTGGCCTCTGCTGATGGCTTTTCAGTTGTTCTTATGTAGTCACAATCTTCCGTCGCATGAGCCTCTGCACAAATACCACATTTAATTTGAGAATTACTAACAGAATAAACTTGAGAATAATTAAATTGTTTAGTAAGAGCATCTAATTGTTCTTGTTGTTTCTTGTGCATTTGCAGCATTTGTTCATTTTGGGCTAAGATTGCATCATAGACATCAAGCTTCATAATTCCTGCTCTCCTTTGTGCAACTGGGGCATTGTCAAATTCTTGAGAAGCTAAGGATTCCAACAATTCTAGTGCTTCCTCTGGAGTTTTTGTTTTCAAGGAGCCCCCTGCAGCAGCATTTACCTGTGTTCTTGTATTGGGTGTCATTCCTTGGAAAAAGATTCTTGCTTTCTCCCATGCTTCAATTCCATGTTGAGGACACTTCCTGAGTAATCCTTTGAATCGTTCCCAAGCCTCGTACAGAGATTCGCTTCCATTTTTTTCAAAAGAGGTGATTTCCGCTTTGAGTCTTGCCATCTTTGAAGCTGAGAAAAATCTAGTCAGGAATTTCCTTACTAAGTCATCCCAACTGGTTATGCTTCCTTCAGGTTAAGACTGCAGCCAAGCTCTTGAACGTCACGAGAAACTCCATTCACCTTTAATGTGTCACAATAAAGTAAGAAATCATCAAGATGACTATAGGGGTTCTCTGCGCTTCCTCCAGCGAACTAGTCTTTTTGAATCAGTTGCAGCAGTGGTGGCTTTAGCTCGAAGTTGTTAGCTTCTATGGTCGGTCTAACAATGCTCGCCGTCTGTGGAACTCGGGTTGGAGTAATATAATCTCCCAAGGTCCTTGGAGCGAGTTGATTGTTTTCTGCCATCGGTTCCTCCTTAGGTTCTGTTGAACTTGAGGTTTCTTTTGCTTCTTTCGCTTTCTTTGCTTTTGCGTCCTTCCTAAGTTTCCTTTCTGTCTTTTCTATCTCAGGATCAAACTGCAAGATTCGTGGGTTAAGAGTACCTCACATAAGCTAAGATTGAAAAGATGTGCAGAAAAAATAGAAAGTGCAATAAAAAAAAAATAAATAAAAAATAAATAAAAAAATGAAAACAGGAAAATAAAAATAAACAAAGAATTCAGAAAATTGATGCAGAATTTTTTATGAAGAAAATATTTTTGAAGAATGTTTAAAGTGCAGAAAAAAAAGTCCAATCTAAAAGGTAATTAGTTACTTCTAATGTTGAAGAATTCGATCACTGGCAACGGCGCCAAAAACTTGTTGCAACTTCAACAAGTGCACCGGTCGTAAAATAATAAAATGTACGAAGTACGAGATCGTTCCCACGAGGATCAGAATTTCAAGCACTAGTTCGCTAATCGCGTTTTAGTTGGACAATCAAAAGTTGGATTGGAGAGAATTGTAATTGAAGAACTTAAAAATTAAAGAAAATTAATGAGATGCAATTAAAGAAATTTCAGAATTAAAAAGACAATCGAAAAGATGATGATTGATTAAGAATTTAAAACAAGCGTAGTTAAGATTTCGACTTCCCCCAATATCCTCAATATGTTATGAATTAAACAGTCAAGAATCTGTTTCTTAATATATTGCCAATCAATTCTTTCTAAGTTAATTAGGGCTCAATTCCTTGTTACCCTAAATCTATATGATCTTGAAAGAACTCTAGTTCCCCGATTATTCCCCAAGAAAACATGCATTATGATCAAGAATTCCAAGATTGCATAATTACCTTATATCTATCCCTAGATCACATGGATTAAGATAAATTATCAAATCAGGATTCATGCACCAACATCCCTATTGTCATACAATTCCCCAAAATCATTCTATAAGGAGCAAACTCATAGAAAGCAATAAAGACAGATAATTTATTCAATTATAAAAAGAACAGGATTCAGAGACAATTTAATTCATAAACATAAAGATTCAATTGGGTTCCATCTACCCTTAACTACATAAAAGACTAGCCTAACATACTAAATTGAAAAACAATAATAAAGAAAAGAGAACCCCAAGCCTCCATTGGTGTGATGTTGACTTGGTTCCTCAGTGTTCTAGCACTCTGCAACAGGATTCCTCCTTCAGGTCTCTATGTATTTCTCTGGACTTGTGAAATGGTTTTGCTCCCAAGCTTCATATTTATAACCATTGAAGTTGTATCCTTCATTGAATCTCCCAATGAATCCATATCAGATTTGTAATTGATTCTACAATTGTTTCCTCTTTGCATTTAAGATCTTGAAGATTGGTTGACAGATTTGAGCTTTGAATCTTTGTTGTGATCTTCCATTATATCTTTCCATGGATTTATATCTATTCTCAATCAAGATTGATTTGTTTCCACTTTGTAGTTTTGTAAAAATCTGATGCACATCTTGATAAAGATATAAAATCTCTTTTGGATTTAGATTTGGCCGTGCATGGGCGTTTTAGCGTGATGTTTGTGCGCTAAAACGTTCTATTGATGCATTCATTTCTGCCTCTGGGTATTTTGGCGTGCTGTTGGGCGCCAAAACGTCCTCTTCGAATGGTATCTTGTTGCTTCTGGAGCGTTTTGGCGCTCTGTTTGGCTGCCAAAACGGTCCAGGGAGATATTGTGGTTTTCTTCATTTTGAGAGTTTAAATGTGCTTCTTGGATGCCAAAATGTCCTACTTCAGCTGGTACACACTTGAAATCTTGCTTCTTTGAGGTTTGAACTCATCTGGTTGCATTCCTTTGGCTCTGAAAAGTCATAATGCGCGTCAAAAATCCTTCGAAATAAGAAATATGTCAACATGTTAGCCAGATATTCAATTATTTTGACTTTATGATATAAAACCCTGATTTCCATGCAATTCATGATATATTTTTAGTATAATTAAGCCTAAAACTATGGTAAACCAAGGGTTTATCAAATTCCCCCTCCACAGGAATGCCAGTGATATCCTCCTTTGTCCTACTCACCAAACCTCCCAACAAGACATCACCAATGTTCCTGCTCACAAGGCTCTTCTAGCCTGCAGCACTGAAATAAAATGTGAGGGACTGGCTGTGGAATCACACGGAGACACCATCACTCGCTAGACACAATAGTTAATCATCACACAATCTCTGGACAAACAATCCATGCCTAGAGTGATTTCCAAATTAGCCATCGGCAATCCAATCAGATCTACCGAGTAATTGCGACCATCCCACTGAAACACGACATCTCGATGTACCGTGGAGGTATCACACTTTTCTCCAGTGGCGGTAATCACCTGCAACGGTGGAGAAAGCACATCAATGGGCAACTCAAGCCCCACAGCAATCGGGGTTGCAATAAAAGAATGTGTAGCCCCAGAGTCAAACAAGACATCAACATCAAATTAACCAAGGGAAACAGTACCTCTGACAAGGTTCGGAGCTCGGTCCGACTGCTGACTATCCAACGTATAAACTCAGTCAGTCTCTGGTGGTGCAGGAAACATCTGAAGTGGAACTGCCTGTATCGCTGCAGCTCTCGCCGTCGACGACGGACAATCTCTAGAGTAGTGGCCCTCCTTGCCATAGTGAAAACAGATCAACTGGCCGGTAGCACATCATCCTGCATGCTCCTTTCCTCACCCTGCACATCTAGGAGCGGAAAGAGGTCTAGCAAAACCTCCTTGCTGTGAAGAAGTCCTGTTGAACTGACTAGGCGCTTGCCTAGCAGCCAACTGCTTTCCTTTTCCCTTTCCAGCAAACTTCCTGTCTTTCCAGGAAGTGGAACTATCAGTTCCCTTCGTCTCAGCAATCTTGGCCCTTTTGGCCTTAGTCATAATGCAGACATCCTCGATGTCCTTACACTGTTGTACCAGTGTACCAAAATCTTTCGATGCTGCTCTAGCAATACGCTCTGAAATCTCCTTAGTAAGTCCCCTGCGGAACTTAGCAGCAAAAAAGGTCGGATTAGGCACAGCCATCCGAAAGTGGGCGAACTTAACCATCTCATTAAACTTCACTAGGTACTCGTCAACAGACAACGAGCCCTGCACCAACCTGTCGAACACCCCCTGCTTCCTCTCCTGCGCATCATAAGGGAAGTATCGACCCGGAAAGCAATCCTCAAAGAATGGCCATGTCATAACATGACCCTGCATCTCAAAGGCGTGAGAGGTGTTCATCCACCACTCATGGGCATCGCCCTATAGCATATACGTGGCAAACATCAGCTTCTGCGGATCAGTACACTGCATCACACGAAAAATCTTGTCCAGCGCCTGAAGCCATCTCGCCGCAGCAATAGGATCATACGATCCATTGAAGGTAGGTGGCTTATGCTTACGAAAAGCATTAAGCTGACGGTCAATCATGTCTCGATCCTCAGCAAGTTCCAAGTAGGGTTCCATCACCGCGGTATGAGGAGTGACACCCTCAACGTGACTCAGGCTCTCGTCCTGAAGGCTAGGTGGAGGTGGAGGTGGTGGCGGAGGGAACTGACCAACAGTAGGACCTGCCCTCATCTCCTCCAACATGACCCTCATCATAGTCATGTTCGCCAGACAGTTTGCCTCCAATACATCCTCAGTGGCTTTCCAGTTCGCCTCTCTGACGGCGTCCAACATAGCCTGGTTTGCCATTCCCATGGCCTCCTGGTCGGCTTGTCAAGCCACCTGCATCTCAGCCAATGCAGCCAGGACAGTATAATGTTGATCCCCGCTAGTGTCTTGGTTCCTCCGAGGTAGTACCATGACTCTGCACAAGTTACACAAAGAATGAGTTGATCAGGCCCACTTAGGGTGGTCATACATGCATTATCATAGCAAAACCCAATAGAGAGAACACACAGACACGACTCACGACAAAACATCCTAAGTTATTGCAATACATATAGGCTTTTCCCTAGAAAGTGCTATGATACCATAAAATGTAACACCTCGTGCATGCCTGGTTTGTTAACATGTCATCGTATTAAGCCACGCTTAATAAAATAATGCGGAATAACTTTTGACTTTCAATTATGACGTCATTATACTTAGCCAAGTTGATTACTTAATCATTTTCATAAAAACATCGCTTGTATGTAAATTGCAAAAGACAGCTAACTGAAATACCTCAATAGATAGATAAGTGTGAGTATCTAAGTCACGGAACTACAACACGTAGACCGAACATAATCCTGATACAATTATACAACTTCAAATCTAAAAGCATAAAGTCAAGTCAATGTGGCATGGACAATCCCCATGCTCACCAAATAAGGCCACAAGGCCTAACAACAGTCTCAACAACCAAATCATAATAAAGGCAATAAATACATATCAGCATCCCACATGTCAACATAACATCAAATATCTAACTCAGCTCTAGCCTCCTGCCGCCCGAGGTCTTAACCCCCGAGTTACGTGAACCTGAAATATGTGCCCCAAACGTGGGGTGAGATCTCTAAAGAGAAATCTCAGTAAGACAAGGGGTCCTCAAGGATCTTCTACCCCAAGCTCACTTACATGTGCAATATAAGTTCTAAAAGCAGTCATATAATATAAGTTCCAAAGTCAGTGTAATGCAACAGATAA